ACTTTCGTTTGCGTCTTCATTATGTTTATGTGTTCAGTCGGGTGTTCATTCCAATGAACGATGAAGAAGTGAAATGTTTAGGTGATTAGAAAAATGCTAGAGACTTTGTAGATTGCAATGGAAGACTTTTTAATCTTGCCGGCTACTGACGTTTTGGATTAATCTGAGAACTTTCCCGTATACGCGTTTTAAGCCTACCAGTGTGCTATGAACAGCAGACTGGCTGAATCACTCGAAGGCCTATATCGATAGGCCTGAAATAAAACATTCGAATCTAGCGGACCTTTTTCTTTCTTACTTTGGTGAAAATCAAATTTTCATCCATTTTTAGATTGGGGAACTGATTATGTGCATGCAGTTCGTCAATCGCTTGTATTTATCCTGAATAGTGATTGTCAACAGCGCCATCTGTCTTTATTTCGCCGTTTTCGTAAATGTCAGAACTCTTGTGTTCAAATTAAAGAGCGAAACCACATAGGTTCTAGACTGGGTTTGGGGCTCAATACCAGGGCTCAAATTAATTTTTTGTCCACGGGGCTCTTCCAAAATAAAAAGCGCCCCCGTGAGCCTTCTCACGGGGGCTCTTTTAGTACAGACGGGGGCTCTTTTTCTATTGAATTGGTGGTACCCATGAAACTCCTAAATTATTTGCTATTTCATCATTATCATTAATAGTCGGCATTATTTCTCTTACAAGCTTACAAGTTATAACATGCAGCTAATGGTCAGATCTCTTCCCTTTGTACGAAATTTCTGGTCCAAGCCCGTATACATACGTATTACTCAATCTGTATAGTGGATATGATCGTCGCAATGTAGTATAGTCAAATTGGAGTTTCCTTTGTTCGTTAGGACTAGTTCTCTTAAACATATACAAGTATTATATAATTTTATGAACACTCGTGAATGCCAGAGGGAAAAACCGTTGCAATCGACTGAACTTTAGCTTATTTTGTTAATTTTTTTTGTCGCGCCCATATCGCCTTTGTAGTTGATTAAAAGCTGAAATAAGGAAGTACTTGAGCTCGAAAATATATATCTTCACTGTTCTCACGCGGGGGTGATGTCGAAATAGAAACTTGGCCACAAAACACAACTACACTATTCAGAATAAATAGCAGAAAGGACAAAAGACATGAAGACCTTGTCAATCTTATTACACAAGTATAATTAACACTCCTCTTCAGAAAAGTAGAGACCTAGACCAGACCCCCCCCCCCCTGATTTTGCGGAAGAAGAAAAAAATGGTTTTAATGGTAATGGTCGACATAAAAACTCTGAGCTCATCCTGTTTTCTATTCAATTATGAATCGAAAGAGAAAATTAGCGCCACCCTCGAAGTTAGTTTCGAAAGATGGATGATGTATATACTGGGCTGTTATCTTATTGTTACGGCCCTCCATCCTAGAACGGGTCCTGGATGCTGGAGTGCTGGCCTGTCCCTTGCCTCTATCACCGTCATCTGACGAAGAATTTGCCATCCTGAATAATGCGAGCGGTTTCTATTTGGCTTGTAGTTTAGAGACCCTGACGTGGCTCAGTTTTCCCAAAGTATATGAGTGTGGAGATGAGAGGTGTTTTGGATAGCTGGACGTGTATTCTCTATGAAATTACATCTGTCTATGGAGACTCAACTAATTACACGTTGTGAAACGATGGATTGTTTAACTGTATACTTTATTAATACAAACATAAGTCAACTTCTCCAACTCGTTATCATAGTTATAACACCGACACCAATTACCTGTATTAATCTCAACAAGTAGTAAAGGCAGGGATTGCCTTTTGTAGGAACTCTATTTCTCGCTTCCAGTCCTTTTCCTTACTTTAGCTCAGCTGGAGGAAAGCGGAGAGTTCGCTATCTGACCAAGACGAGAGCCAGCGTCGAAGTGACGATATCTCAGCTCAAAACCGCTATTTATAGGATCCGAGACGCTCTGAGAGCTGCTTTACGCATGGTGCGTCCGTAATCGCGCTCTGAGCCCTTACGCCCCAAAAGCTTACTGCCCTTTTCCTTTTTGTGCAAGATAACTACCTGTAACGGGCTGGTCCGTTACATTATTCTTATTTTGTCCTCGTTGCACGTGCGTGCTTTTTTATTATTTTTTCAAGTCATGTCGTTTAGTGGAAGCACCCGTAGACATGACGATTGTACCTTACTATATTTAATTTTGACTACATATTATTTATTGGGATTTAAATATGAATCTGAAAGTTTATTCCTCGAATAACCTTATCTGGATTAACATGACTTTGACATAATATAGTTGTCCTCGCGGTGCACTAAAAGTATTGCACGTAAACAGATTTCGACCTTCCCCTCTTCCCATATTTTTTTCTCGCTTCCGGAAACGCATTTGTTTTGCTTGATCCAAACACAGGGATATATTAATTTATGGAACTATTTTTTATAGACTGTAAATGCTTAACATAGTTATTTACAGATGATTCTGCAAACTGTATTTAATAACATAATATTAATGAACAATCTCAGATTTACATGTGTGTGCACTGCAAATTCGTTGTGTAACGACTTTACACAACATTGAATGGTTCACTCCTTAAACACGGGTTGTGTTAAGTCATGTAATAAAACATTACACAACTTTACACCCTGCAACATCTTTGGTGATCTCCTTCTCAATATTGATTTACTGGTCGAGTTACATTATTTGCTGGCCTTTTAGAATAGCCAGATTTCAGAGGATTCACACTTTTCACAACGAAAAACTTCTCCATGTTTCAGTCCTTGCGCGATCGTCTCCAGCTCCAGCAGATATTGGGCGTCAGCGTGCACACCGGTACTACCGGCGCAGTATAGCCACTGCTGAGGGCCGCACTAGCTGCACTGCGAGCTTCCGTTGTTTGTATCGGTAATACTCATAGAGATGGGAGAGAAAGCGCCATCTAAGTTCGATTTCATTGGTTTAAGGTTTGAAAATTGATACTCAATATTGTGTTAAAGTTATATCAGAAAAGATAATCTTTATTTTATAATTCCACGGGGGCGATTTTTAATTTTTCAATCGCCCCCGTGAGCAACCTGACGGGGGCGATTATGGAGCTCACGGGGGCGAATCGCCCATCGCCCCCGTGTATTTTGAGCGCTGCTCAATACCCCACCCTTCCCTTACAATTTTTGATTATAAATGAATTTGAGCAAGGCACATGTATCAATTTATGACTTTTGCACTCAAATATCTATATGTTACAATATAATTTTAAATTTGTTATCCGTTATGAAAATTTAAGAAAGATTCTATTTGTTTTAGATTATAATCAATAATATTTGCAGGGATGCAGTTTTCGGGCAAAAGCCTGAATTCAGGCCCTCGCGGTTTATTCTCAGGCTATAGTTTAGGGTTTGTTTGTGCGTACAAAATAGCTCATTTTAGTTGATTTTCAGACCCTCTGATCAAGTTTTACTGGCATCCCTGTATTGAATTGAATTGAATGTACAAAATGAATACCAGAACCCCCAATCTCCCCTAAAGCCCCAACAAGCTCCCCAAAGCACCCACCCCCTACACACAAACACACAAACACAAAAAACACGCACATACACATACACACACACCCACACGCACACGCACACGCACCCACACACACACAAACACACAAACACACAACCAAACATAAACTCGAACCGCGCCTGTGAATAATCACTGATATAAATTTATGATTCTTTTTCATGCCAGACTATTCTTTAAAATCGCATTAAATTTTTCTAATTCTTTGTCATTCATCTAAATATCGTATAAATGTTGGTGTTGGTTCCGCCCTACATATTCAATATGGGCATGGCCTTATGATTCTACAGGCATTGTTATTTCAAACAACAATGAACACTAAAATCTCATAGACTAAATTTGATAGCTGCATTGCGCCGATTTCAATGGAATAATTTATATTGCCATAACGTAGATCAAAGAGAAAAATAATCTCCGCCGCTGAAGAATAGTGAACAAAATGGATTTCGAGTTTAACAATGATCAGAATTTAGCCCTATTGGAACACTAATTCGAACCGACGAAACTCGAGGCAATTATTTGAGAGGGCATGTACATAAAAAGTGAAGTTATTGTAAAGATTACTATTTCCACCATTTAGAATGCTGCTCTTATCGACTGACTCAGTCGATAAGAGGATAATGTGAATATGGTAGATAATTGGTTTCCATGTCCCTGCATGAACAAACGAACTGTATCATGAGCAAAATGCAAGCCATACATATATAAATGTCCAAACAGCAGACGAATGAATACTAATAGACAAAAGATATTTCCATTCCTTAACTATTTATTCAATACTCGCTATTATTACATTGATTCTGATGACCTGTAACTTAATTCACCAACAAATGGCAAAACTACTTATATTATAAACTAAGTACGACAAACAGATAATTAAAGAGGAAATTAATACACACTCTTAATAATAGCCATATTTTTTAATCTGCCCACTCTGGGGTAAAATTTACAATTTGTCATGGTTTAGAGTGAACAGAGGACACAATACTATCTTACGACGTAAAATATTGAAGAGGAATTGAATTCAAGGAAAAGACATGTATGGGATAAGACAGTCGAAAGTAATTTGTTGAAAGTAATGAGCACTATAGTGATAGGGGATCTCCCATTTGGCAACGCGGGCGTATGTGACGTCATTCAAGGAGAAGCCGACATATTTTGTTTATTTATATAGAACTGCTACAACATTATTATCATTCTTAATTTTATGATAGAGTGATTATATTTCACATAAGAGGGTATAACAATATGTTATCTTTAAAACACCATGTGAAATATATGTGTTCCATCACGAATTTAGTATTGGTATGTAAATAAATTTGAAAATGATTTACACAATAAATCTAGGGATTTGTCTCCGTTTATGATATCAAACATGGCTGAATTTCCGCTCGGAGTTTCTTCATGATAATTATTTGTCCTTGACCTTTAAAAAGATTTAAAGCTTTTTTTTTTTTAATACTATATTTGTGTCATTTTGTTCAATACTTCCTCTTCCACTCAGACTAATGTTATAATGAAGGATCAACCCCCTTTATATTAGCAATATTCTCTTCTTCTAAAATATCTAAATGCCCTCATAAGGTATTACAGAATAGAATTTCAAATATAATTTAGCTTAAACAATTAATCGTTCAAAAGTTAAGAAGAAATGATGAAAGTCTGCTCGTTATTATGTCCATGTTTATCAATAGCCTATAGTCACACCAGCGAGACCGACTCCTCACTGAGAACATACCGACCGCATGGTCATAATGATGGAGTAAAAACCGGTCGGTTTAGAGTCAATTTGGAGTCGATTTGAAGATGTGACTGAGGAATTAGATAGCAAGATATGAAACCTGGAAACCTTTGCCTCCAACATACGCATCAGATGATAAGCGAAGAGTGAGCTGGTTGGTCCGAGACACAATTGGCAATGGTGGAGACGTCCCGTCCAGGCTGCATCATAAATATAGAATAATATAAAATAGAGTGTACTACTTTGTGGAGCTCATTATCGAAATTCAATTACAATTTTTATGACGTATAAATCTGTTCTCGATCAGTTGACAGTGATTATTTATGACTATCATGGCACCAATCAAAAGATGAGAATATGGGTCTTGAATAAAAATATATAAAGTCGTAATTAATCCGGATCTATCTGGATTGATCTCAAGACTTCTGGTAAATTCGTACCTCAGTAATACGAACGAAACCGACACCATGAGGATGGTTCATCAACGAAAAATGATTCCGATTTGAGAAAAAATACTTAAGGCTTGATGAAACACCCCAGATCGACAACAGACCGAACCAACAATTACATTAGGTTTGGAATCGGTCTGGTGGTATGAGTGAGGTATCAATTGTATACGGGATTCGTCCGAGTAGTTAGTGTCCGAAACGGAGGTAGGGTTGGGTGTAATTGTCCTAGTGGTTAGTGTCCGAGACGGAGGGGTGGGTGTAATTGTCCTAGTGGTTAGTGTCCGAGACGGAGGGGTGGGAATAGTTGTCCGAGTGGTAAGTGTCTGAGAGGGAAGGGTGAGAGTAGTTGTCTGAGTGATAAATGTCGGAGAGGGAGGGGTGGGTGCAGTGGCGGCAGTGGCGGATCCAGGGGGGGGGGGGACCGGGGGGACCCAACGCCAATAAGTGACCTGCCAGTGTCACAAATAAGGTTTAAGAATATGCTCATCTGACCGTAATTAAATGCCTAAAACCCCTAAATTTCCGGGGCTCCATGTCTCGACCCCACCAGGGGCCCTAAGGCGGGGCCCTGCATGCTTGTCTGACCGTTATAAAATGCCTTAAACCCTTGAGCTTTAGGGGGCTCTGCCCCCTGGCTCCCACGCCAATTAGTGTCCTGCCAGTGTCACAAATAGGGTACAAAAATATGCTCATCTGACAATAAATTATTGCCCCAAACCCCTGAGCTTCCGAGAGCTCCGCGCCCTGGACCCCACGCCAATTCATGACCTGCCAGTGTCACAAATATTGTTTAAATATGCTCATCTGACGATAATTTAATGTATAAAACCCCTGAACTTCTGGACCCAACACCAATTTGTGTCCTGCTTGTACCACAAATAAGGTATAAAAAAATGCTCATCTGACCGTAATTTATTGCCAAGAACCGCTGAGCTTCCGGGGACTCCGCCCCTGGACCCCACGCCGATTCATGACCTGCCAGTGTCACAAATAAGGTATAAAATATGCACATCTGACGATAATTTAATGTATAAAACCACTGAGCTTCTGGGGCTCCGCCTCCTGGACATCACGCCAATTCGTGACCTGCCAGTGTCACAAATAAGGTATAAAATTATGCTCATCTGACGATAATTTGATGTATAAAACCTGTGGGCTTCTGAGGGCTCTGCCCCCTGGACCCAACACCAATTTGTTTCCTGTCATTGTCACAAATAAAATATTAAAATATGCTCATCTGACCGTAATTTATTGCCCAAAACCCCTGAGCTTCCGGGAGCTCCGCCCCTTGGACCCCACGCCAATTAATGACCTGCCAGTGTCACAAATAAGGTTTAAATATGCTCATTTGACGATGATTTAATGTATAAAACCCTTGAGCTTCTCGGGGCTCCGCCCCCTGGACCCAACACCATTTTGTGTCCTGCCAGTGTCACAAATAAGGTATCAAAATATGCTCATCTGACCTTAATTTATTGCCCCAAACCCCTGAGCTTCTGAGGGCTGCGCCCCTTGACCCACCCCCCCCCCCCCCAGAAACGCTCAGCGGGGCCTGCATGTAAGAGTTGGTCTACCCTCCCCCCCCCCCCCCCAAAAAAAAAAAAAAAAAAAAAAAAAAAAATTGCCCCCCCCTAAGAAATCCTGGATCCGGGCCTGGGTGGGAGTTGTTGTCCGAGTGGTTAGTGTCCGAGAGGGAGGGAGGGGTGGGAGTAATTGTCCGACTGGTAAGTGTCCGAGAGGGAGGGGTGGATGGGAGTAGTTGTCCGAGTGGTTCGTGTCCGAGAGGGAGGGGTGGGAGTAGTTGTCCGAGTGGTTAGTGTCCGAGAGGGAGGGGTAGGAGTAGTTGCCAGAGTAGTTAATCTCCGAGAGGGTGGGAGGGGTGGGAGAAGTTGTCCGAAAGGTAAGTGTACGAGAGGGAGGGGTGGGAGTAGTTTTCCGTGTGGTTAGATTCCCTCGATACGCTACTGAAGTTAGTTCGTTCGTTAGTTAGCGCGTTAGAGAGCTAATTCGTTTAGTTAGTTATACAGCTCGTTCGTTAGCTATTTTGTTTGTACGTAAGTTACATACCTCAATAGAGTCTCTTCTTGGTCATTTTGGTTCAGTTGAATCACCTTTAGGCAGTCATACTGGCAAAGATAATTAGGTCCATATTCCACGTCCAAATCATTGAATGTCAACCTAATGACCTTTCCAGGATCTACCTGAATGACGTAATCACAGACTATCTGGTTGGGGTAGTGTATGGGGTAGTTGAGTGACTCGACTATACCGGACTCCCCACCGAAGGTTCCACCGCATGTGGATTCTGTGATACTCTTGTACGATACCTTGAAGCCTCTCCTCTCTTCGGATCCATCGGTGATGAATATCAGCTTCATTTTGTTCGACAAGGATTCGAATGGACCAACGTTAGTCCTGGTTCCACACAGTCTGAAATATACCACCAAAATACGATGTCATACGTTATATCATTGCACAATGCCCCTCTCAATTCAACTTTGCCATTATATCATTATTACATATTTAAGTGAGGAAGGGAAGTGATTTTACATTTTGATAAAATATTGCATATATTATGTTATTTCTAATATCGAGAAAATCCAACCGACTCGAATCAAATTAGACTAACATTTATTTTGCGAGACAATCATTATTCTTTAATGCATTTAAAATTGATTTATTTACCGTGTTTTCAAAACCTCGTCAGTACCTCCGAGATTGACGATAAGGGCGTCATAGTTACATCTATTTCTGCCCTCCTGAATCTCCATTTCATCGATCTTTAGATAAATCTTTTTGCCTACATCAGTAGTTAGGCGGTAGACTTTCTTTTCCCGGGCATTGTAAGCATTCGGGTAGTTTGGGGAAGTTAAGGTACTTAGTGGCGCTGAGGGGAAAATGAAAATGAACGATGGTAATTGTATAAATGTACTTCTGTGCCTCGCCTTATAAACAATTGCATGTGATTCAAACCGATCGCTGCTCTGTATTAAAGAGAAAGATTTGTGAAAGCTAATGATTGATTGGATGACTTACGATTAATCGTAAATGTTTCATAAGACAGGGCTGTGGATGCAGGGGCGGGTCCAGCCGACAATTCACACAATGGGTGGGGGGGGGGGGCTCTCGAGAATTTGAAAAAAACGCACCCCCCCCTTGAGCGCCAGGGGAGGGTGCCCAATTCGTGAGAAAATATTTAGCGGCGATACAGCCAGCCGATGAATAATAAGCGCGCGGGGGGGGGGGGGGGGGGGGGGGTAAGGAGCACATTTTTTTTTTTTTTTTTTTTTTTTTTGCTCCAGACAATTCACACAATGGGTTGGGGGGGGGGGAAGGCTCTCGAGAATTTGAAAAAAACGCACTCCCCCCCCCCCCTTGAGCGCCAGGGAAGGGGCCCATCTCCCAAAAAGGGTAAAATTGTCCCCCTGGATCCATCACTGTGTGGATGTATGGGAATACATTTAGTGTCGGATTGCCCAACCGCCTCAAATATTTCCATAATAATGATAACAACAAGAAAAACAACAATAATAATAATAATAAAAATACAAATGATAATATAATAATTATATTAATGATAATGATGATGATGTCAATAATATGCTTCACATTTATATATAAATAAATATACGAACACACATATATATAATCACACCGACATCACACCAAACACAAAATTACCTTATCCTGATTGGCTAATAATCTTTCGGTTTTTAATAGCAGTGTGAAAATAATAGTTCCTTGTCATTCGATTTCAAACTGGCACACACTATTAGTGAGCTCCATTCTCTATTTTAGATTACCTGATCAAATATTGAAATAAATGATCAGAAAGCAACGATTTGTCAGCAATCTAGTGGTACACATGATTTGTTTGGCACAGGCATTTCCCAATGTAATTTTTGAATGTGTGTACCGACACATACCTGGGCTCAAGCACGCTATACAGAGTATATGTACTTGTATTTCAGGATTTACATTTTAAAGACCATTTTGGAAAGCCCAGGAAGCAATTCAGTAGAATTGTTATTCTTCATAAATAGGAAGATAATCCAGTATCTAGAATTCTGAAGCCTCGTTCAGATATGCAGCGGAAATCGCGGCAATTAAAAAAAAATCATAATGGCGTGTAATAGTGTAATAAGCTTCAAATTTCCTTTTTCTTTTAACACAGAGCTCAGTGAATACGCGTGGGACAATTTTATCACGTTTGTAGCTCGCAGTTGCCATTCATTCTTTTCTAACGCGGCGTTCTTTCCTTCGTTTTTTCCGACGGTTTACCGCGTCATATCTGACCGGTCTAAGAGGGTGTACCTATTATACTCTCTATAATTGACAAGTTTCAGCATCCATGATGAAAAGAGAACAAGAAGTCTTTGGTATACCTTCACTTGTTGGTGCTTTGGTAGTTACGACAGGTGTGGTTGGTGCTTCGGTTGGTGCATTGGTAGTTACTACAGGTGTGGTTGGTGCTTCGGTAGTTACTACAGGTGTGGTTGGTGCTTTGGTAGTTACGACAGGTGCTTCGGTTAGTGGTCGATCAATGGTAAAATGGGCCCTGAATCCCTTGTCGGTATTTACTCCGTTGGAGTAGAACCAGATCATAATGTTATCTTTTGCTACGATTGGGGCTGGTATTTGGTTTCCACAATACTTCTCTCCTCCGTATCGCGGGTCATCACTGTTGACCTGAACGTAGTCCCAACACCCATGACTGCCTGGATCTGCTATATCGAATGCGTCAAACGTTAATGTAATCGTAGCTCCAGGTTCGCCCTTTGAAATTAAAGACAAGGCTAGCTTTCAACAATTTAGTTGTAATATTTCCAGCGTTGCCACATAAACAGTAAATATGCTTAAATTCCTTCAGGATAATTTTGTTTTAGAAAATAAAGAGTGGAAATTATAACTCCTCATTACATGTTATACTCTACCGTGATCTGTATAAAGTGCCTCTTTTCTAAATAATTCTTCTATACCATCTGAATAATAGACAACATACCACACAAAATATTACATTTTTACAAATGGCCAGGAATCGGTCAGTTTGGAGACAGTTTAAAGTCGGGTTGGTGGGCAGGAAGAAAGCAGAGATAGTTTAACTCACAACCATATAAATCATGCTGGCTGAGTTTATGGGGTACTGTCCAGATTCATAGTCAGGGGATGTGATCTCCCCAGATGGCTCAGTTCTGGTGATCTCAGTAACTTTGAAAGAGAGGGAGAGAGAGAAAAATAAAAACAGTATATTCCTTTTCGAACAAGCAGAGAGAAAGAGAATGTTAAGTTGACATAATATAATATGACGCATCATGGTCGGGGTTTGATTAATACAATTTTATAGAAAAGGATACATATAGCTTCGATTAGTCTCATTGGACAACGCCCCCGATCGTCAGAGTCCAGCAGCCTAACATGTTAGCTTATGGACTTTTACCCCCCCCCCCCCCAAAAAAAAAAAAAAAAAAAAAAATCGTTAAAAATTATTTTTTTGTTTCAACGAAAAGCACATCCACCCGACGTACGTTGACACTAGTTCTTTCACTGGAACCCTCATGTCCCATTGACTTTTGAAAGTTTACCCACCGTAATTTGATCAAAATAGGTCGACAGCTCGCCATTGCCTATATAGCTTTGGACGCAATTTAGCACGCGATTGTAAGGTTATAGGTCAATCGCCCGAAGAATGAAGTATCATAGATCAGTTCTGATTGATTCATTATGTCCATTTCAGCCACCCCCCCCCCCCTCCCACCGTAATTTGTCCATTTAGTATAGGCAAACATTTTGCCGAGGTAAGCAAAAAAACATGAATATTCATGAACGCCATGGACTACTCGATTATTTACAGAGGGGTGCAATTGTGCAACACACCAAACTCCCCTACTTTCAGTCAAGTATTTCATTGTATTATGTAGTTTGGTAAGTTTATTTTACTAACTGTTTAATTATCAGATATTAATGATAGTTTGAAGATATGGAAAAGGTATAACTAGGCGTTGTTGCGTGCGCCTGTAATCCAGCTAACAGTGGAAGTTACAAACTGATTCAGCCAAGAACGCAAGTTCAAAGCTGAGTCATGTCTTTCGGATGGTGACGTTTAAAGGTCGGTCCCCAGACGTAAATAATCAAATCTGATTGATACACGTCTGTAAAAACCCAATACACACACACACACACACACACATACTATTGTATTTTATATTTAGCAAAGCAATCTCACATACAAAATCACTATCACGTGTTGTCTGATCCGCCGATTGCCGTCTGCTATATACGTTTAAGGCACATTTATATGTGGACTGTGATGTAGACAATTATGATTAGCCATCTGTCATTTATTAGTCTTTAATTGTTGACACACATGCAATTACCACACACGAACACTCTCACTTCCCCTCCCCAACACACCATTTCCGCACACCCGGTTCACAAATCATACCCAATGGCAGACACCCTGCAACATAGTGGAACATTCTAGTTTGGTAGCGACGTCGAACTAGCTACTTTTGTGCTGGCAATGGTCCAGCGAGCGAAAATGAGACAACCGGAGCTATATGATGGCCCATGGTGAAACATTCATGTACATGTATATGCAGGGGTTGGTTAACACGAAGGATAGAAGTGAAGATACCACTCCGCTATAATTAGTATAGAGATACCAGCTGCTTCGAGAGGCTTGGCTTTTTATAGCCTCAAGAGAACGCGCTTACACCCAGGCGCGCCTCTGTGCCATGGCAAGAGGTGCAAGTTCTCGAAAAGAGTGGTTAAAACATCACGGAAAATCTGAGAAACTGTCTATTTATCTTTGCTGGAAAATTGACGAAATTTTTGATCAGTTGGGAATCGCATACAAAAAGCACTTGATGGTATCCGCGCACGCTCAAAGAACAATTTAACACGTTAACCAATGGGTATCGCAGCAAAATTTAACTATTTGCATGGTAACTGGAATTTTGAGGGATCTCACTCTTGGACTATTAACCGGTTTGGGCATTTTCGTTTTTTTACGTGAACGGCCAGAATCATTACTCCAATTTCGACCAATCAGATGGCTGGATTTCTTAAGTGATGTATATAATGAAGACTAATCGTTTGGACGACATTTGATCCGCGTCAATTTCCTAAACTACCCGAATTTTTCACGTCAACCTTGGACCCAACAGGGTAAACCTTACTCTAAACCTGTCAATAAATCCGGAAATAATTGTTGCAGGAACAAATGCCTGGTCATCGACTAATGATTTGTTTTAAAGACTTTAATGACAATATAAGTTCTCTTTATGTTGATATTAAGTGGACTCATAATCCTGTATAAATGTCTGCTGATGGGAATAAAAGCATCAATATCTACTAGTTCGATTCGCTCGCTCGAATTATCTGTCATCACTTTTGAATTGAAACAAGCAAAATCATCATTACATCAAATAAGAATAAAAAAGTATAAAACTTATCCATGAGTGGGGAGATTATTGTGAAAATATTCCATCCCCCCCCCCTCCCCACCCCACCCCAGGTGAAGCATGGGTATGTAATATCCAGTGGCCCATAACGTTATTCTTTTGTAATATTGCTGGCCCGAGCAACATAATGAAGATAATTACGAGGCGAGAAGGCTAATGTTCAGTTTTTGTTCTTTAGTTTTAATTCCAAATTCAGGCATATTATTAGGTGCCTGAATATCTTTCCTAAATAGCCTTACATAATTTTGGCTTATTTAATTATAAGATGAGAAAATAACACCCGTCTTTGATAAATCATTTTGTTGTTGTTTCTGTTATTGTCATCTGTATTGTTATTGTTGTTGCTTAATTTAGACAACTGAGATTTGATAAACGGGTAAAATGCGTCACCGCCCCCCCCCACCCCCTCTTCCCCCTCCACCCTCCCCCTCTCCCTCGGCAAAAGGCAAAACTGTACCCAGCGTACTACTAAATAGTATTACGCAACTCACTTGTTTCGGGTACATTTGAGTTTTCGTTGCAGAGCGCCCCCGTCCAAGCAGGGGGGCATTGACATGTGCATGTTTTGTCTACAAAGCCTTCGTTGGCGCAGTCCAGAAGGGGGTCACAAGTAAAATTACAGTTGTAGATATAGTTTGCTAATTTGACATCGTAGAAACTGAGACCAGACCTTTGACCGATGTACTGCATGTCGAATGGTCGCTTTGTTACCAACGTCGGTATGTTTTCATTGATGGCGAATCCCTGTGTGGCGATATAAATGATTGATATTAACCCGGAGTATAGTCTTTAAGATGTTTTGAATCTACCAATACAGGTGTATTTTACATTTACATTTTGATTTCAAGTTGTACTACCCATTTTAAAGGAATAGACCAGTTCTGGTCATGCGAATGCATTGTGAAAGAAGCGTTGTGGAATCGATCAAAAAAGATTGATCATCAAGCAGGTATTAGTGTGTACACCAAGGTTCTGGAATCATCAAAATGATAGGAAGTTTGGCCCAGTCTTGGTAGAGTTACAAGCACTCTAAACAGAAAGTTGTATATGGGACTACGCTATATTTATCCAGTCCGGATAGATATAATAATTTACCAAATATGTCAATTAGTAGCCGGAATTCACCAGTGCTTTTGGAAAAGGGCATATAGGCTATCTTGAAGCGACTCTTTCATTGAGGTGCTGAAGGATGCCTTTTTCTTTTAAAATACCGACAAGCATGCGAAAAGGTGGACAAATTATCACGCCTTTAAGGTGCCCTTTCTCTCTAAGCTGCAGCCCCCTATATCACCTACTTGATGGGAGGAGAAGCTTCTTAGCACCCTCACCCCTAGGTCCCAATATTATGTCCCAAATTGAATGGTGAAATAAACAAAAAACAAAACAAAGATACAGAGATGATGAGAGAAAGAGAAAGTGGGAGGTCAATATATGAAAAAGGACCACTTCCTAATAAACACCCTTCCCCACTCTTCCCCCACTCGATATCTGTGTTCTCTTGTTCACCTCTGACGATGCCCCCATAAGGCCTCCCAGAGACCCAGTACCAGACACACCAACGTATGCTCAAGTACGGGTACCCCCCCCCCCCAATATAACCCGCTTGCAGGCTCCAAAATATAAGAGCAGTGGTAGGTCCATGATTTTACCAAGGAGAGTCGATGCTCGCTTCAAATCTCCTTTGTTTTCCGAGGTTCCACAGATTGCAGCAGTTTTCAACTATTAAGAAATTCGGCCAGTCGACCGATGACACCGATGAAACGGCCACTATGAATGGTATAGTCCGGCAGCCATCTCGATATACCTTGTTTTAGGGTCTATAGTTTTTTTTTCTTCGGATTATAGTTCCTTAGACCATCAATTTGAAGAATTCGATTGCTGACACTCTGTCAGCATTGAGCAATTTGAGATATGTGACGTCATACAAAATGGCCGCCAAAATCCCCTTTTAAACCAAAATTAATGATATAAAAAGTTTTAACAGCATTTTACTACATTAAATGGCAGTCAAATATCTTAATTTTTTTCTAGAATCATCACTAAATAAAAATTGCGATGCTGTATGATCACAAATGATATGCAAATTTGCATAATTCGGAATGGCGCCCTCTATAGACACATTAACTTGAATAGTTCAAAATGATGGCCAAATACCAATTTCTAACATGAGATTATCATATGTCATGAGTCAGATGCACTGGATACAGTGAGTAAAAATTGTGCTGCACATTTATTTTTATTTTGTAATTTTATACTCGAAGAAAACATGGTTGAATTTTATGTTCTCTGTCCCATAGATATGAGGTGGCATATGGTTATAAATGCCCATTTTCAGTGACAGCGTTAAGAAACTAGATTTGTATTCTAAGGTACTAGATTCTTTTTAATTAACCTACAAATTACGAACTACCGATACGATACAGGACTATATCCGTTTATAAGTTTGCTTCAAAATCTTGAAATTTGTTTAAAAGCCCTCTAAAGTGTTGGGAGCCCTAAAATATTCCATGCGGAAGAGGGTGTCATTTAACACTTAATTCTGCAAAGTGAGGTCGTGACTGTAATGCGTGCTTCCACACGCATGTTTGCAAATGAGCTCTCTTTTAATAACATTTTCTACAAACGCTTGAGGTAGTTTGAGGTAGTGAGGCAAGGTTTGGGGGTATTTGGAGCTCCTAGTCTTCGGACCCTTGATAGCCACACGTTGATACGAGCCTCTGACATTCAGTTGGTTGTTGACTGTCCATAACATGAAGCAAAGCATTGAGTAGGTTGAGTGATGACATAAGACCATGCTGCATCAACATTGCCAACTGAGTCCTAAGGGAGTCGAATCTTCTGCTTCATCACTTTCAGCATTGTACCCTATCCAATGCCAAAGTATGCCCCAAGAGTGTCGCATCCCGTCAACGCATGTCCTGCCAACATCGATGGAATGATATCTCCTAACTTGTCTACATTAGCAGGAACATCAATAACAGTTCAATTTGTGAAGGGGCGTCTCCATGGTCATTGGCGTTTTATAAGTCCGTCATGTAGATAATGATCGATGCAAAAGTAGTACGTAGACGTCTGTGTCATCCACTAGGACCCTAACATACATCTTCTCATTAGCATCAATTCAAATCGCTTGCTGTACTTCGATGTTGCCTGCTTCATCATAACTATGTTGTGGACAGACCTTTCCTTGCCATGACATCACTGCCTGGAATCACTTCAACAGGAACCTCATCTTGACGGTAAAGGCCTGCTTGTGCTTTTGCCTATTTCTGAGCACCCAATCATCCTGCAGACTCGCGCATATAATTACGATGTCGATCAACTGTAGTTTGTTGTCATGAAAAGATAGTGAAGTTAGCAACACTAGAGACACGTTTCAACAACTTCTCTCCCTAGCTTTATTGATCTTTCCAAAGCTTTTGACTGCGTACAACATAAACGCCTATGGAAGATTATGAGCTGGATGGGCTTTCCAGCATATATAATTCAACTCATCCAGTCGCTCTACCAATACCTAGAAGCAACAGTAAGAACAGAGAATGGCTACACCGAAAGGTTCACTATTGGTCAACTTGTCCGTCAAGGCTGCATCCTATCACCATCTATGCTGTATTCATTATGAGAAAGGCATTTTATGGTCAAGTTTCTGTTGGTGGACGAACGATCACCAACCTAAGATACGCCGACAATACAACACTCTCTGGCGTATTGATGGGGAAGGGTTGGGGGGGGGGGTTGGGGACAGTTAAACCCCCAAACAAAATTCAAACTGTTTTTTCTATATATTCGATACCAGTGATTTACAAATGTTGCTGAAATGACATGATTTTCCTGGGTTTTTTCTCACTTTTTAGTAAATTATTATTTGTTAAGCGTATGTTGGAAAATGACAAATCCTAAATTCACAGTCAAGCAAAAAATATGCTTATTTAAAAGCCTACATGTCAGGGTCCGCAGAACAGCGGGGCTCAGGGGACTCGAGCCCCCTCACTTTTTGTATAAAGTATGTTGAAGAGAACTAGAAAGAAAGAAAGAAAGTGACCCGAGGTGAAATGAGGTATCAAAATATGTTCATCTTACAGTTAATAAATGCCTGAAACCCTTGAGCTTCCAGGGGCTGTGCCCCTTGAACACCACGCCAATTTGCGCTCCTCTCTTCCTGATCGTAAATACTTCACCCCCCCCCCCCCACCCCGATTTTAAAAAAGTTCTGCGGGGCCTGCATGTAACATGTATGAGTGGTGGTGATGCAGATTGTTTTTCTGCCCCTCTAAGTGTTTTTGCTCAGTATGCCACTGACAACACTTATAACAAGAACATCAGAAGAACTACTAGAACTCTTTAAAAAAGAGTGAAGGATGCAAGTGAATAATTTGGACCCTACCTCAATGGGAAAAAGACCTAGATCATGATTGGTGGAAATTAACTACATGCAACAGAGCATGGTGGTTGATGGAGAAGAAGTTGATCAAGTGGACAAGTTTATATAATGTTCTTGGGTCAATGATTGTCAAGGAGGGTGGAAGCTCGGCAATATCTGCCTTTGAAATGTGGTGTTGGAGGAAGCTACTTGGGATATCATGAAGAGATTACAACACCAATGGACACAATTAATGTCCATCATCAGAGATCAACCGCCACTTGCTACTATGGATTGACGGTACAAGCTACAATAGTTTGGTCACGTTAGCAGAAGATCAGGAGACAACCTTGACAAATTATCATTCAAGGTACCTTTGAAGGAACACGTAACAAAGGAAGACTCAAGCTCAGATGGACTGACGACCTTCGGGAAATCACTAGCCACCCTCTAAATACTAAAGACACTCTACCGGATTGCAGGAGACAGATGCCGATCAAAAGGTCTCATCAAACGGGTCACAATGGTGAGCCATGATCTATATGACAACGACGACGACGACGAATAGTAAGAGATAGTTTCTTGGAGGGCAGCAGTGACGCGGGACTCAGTTGGAAGACTCTCGACCCGTTATGACTTCTAGATACTCTCGAATCTGTCAAACACCAAGCAAAAATCATCAGATTTTCATCCACAGCAGAGCACAACCATCAATGACTGTACAAGGTTGTTCCAGTGTCTCATGCCTGGCTGACATCTCAACTTTTGTCAAATTCTATAAGTCCGTCTTTGACATGGGAGTGCTCGTTTCCAGAATCATCAAAAAGTGCTGTTGGGACTGGTGAAAGCTCTTATGACAAAATGTCCTTGATATTCACCTCTCTTGAACTTGTCTGCAGTCCAATTACTCTGGAGTAGATCAACTTTTCATAGATTTTCGTATCCCAACATTGACTTCTTCATGGCAGCCATGGTTTGAACTTTCTTGGAAATTGTGTCATAGAATCCACCAGGTAATATCTTTTGAAATTCATGCATCTCTCTAGTATAGATGTCAACTGCTTTATCCACATTCACTGACGTTGGAGCAATGCTGGTCTAAATAAAGCCTATCAATTGAATAATAATGTGTGCCGTAAAACCACTTCTCACCGATTTGATGAAAAATGAATTCTTTCTTAGCCATTTTTTTTTCTTGACATATGTAGGGTAGGTGTAGGGAATTGGAGACCACCAAGCTTGAACCCATTACTGTCTGTCCGTGTTGGCTCCAATATTGATATAGCGACATACGTGGCCTTAAACAACACTTCTGCATATATCCAATTCATTTCGAAGACTACAATGCGTTCTCTCTCCGAGAAAATTGGCAAAATTGACCAAGATATTAGCAATTTTGATCGTAAAAATTTGCTCTGATATAAAAACACAATTTTCACTGAATTTTGTGGTGTATGCAGATATTTAGGGGTGGCTCTTAAAAATTAGTTTTAAAAGGAAGTTTATGAAATGTGCCAACCATCACAGAAAGCTTATGGCCATTGTATGTTGTGAATGGGTGTTGCAATTCACATAATGAATGGTGTCTGATCAGAAATGTGTGTAGGTAATTGGGGACACCAGGTCCAAGATGGGGGCCTACTTCTCCCCAGTTGTCCATTTCATGTTGAAAGGCACTATCATGAAACATATTTGGTCGTACGTGTCACCATTCTAATTTGAATGAATTCAATTTTAAGAAGTTGTTTCTTTGCTGTGAGTTTGATCAATGTAAAAGTCATATTGCCAGAACATTATTCTGAAAGTATTTTAACATAATTGAGAACACCTTTATTACTGTAAACAAAAACTACAGAAATATTTTGGGCCACATTGTTTTAAAATCGTTTCAAAATTTCAGTAAGTTCATTGGCTCCATATATCTCTTTCAAAAAATGTTTGAACTAACTATAACAATCCCATTTTCATTCAAATTGTATTTAAAATGTCTTGATTTGTAACTGTCCCTTATTACCTACACATGTAGGTAATGAGAGACCTTTGGTGATGACGTCATTAATCAATGTTATCTTATTAATCAGTTACATCATGACAACAATTTCGTTACAAAATAAAGAGAAAAAATACTAAAGGGAATACAAAAATGTCTGTATGTGTAACATTGTTCATGTTTATGTAAATTATGCAAATGTGCTTAAGGGTCTTCCATTCCCCACACCTACCCTATCTAAATTTGTACCAAACACGATGAAAGATTATGCAGCACAACTGCAATTGTTGCCCCCAAAAAGCATTTAATATGATTTCAACGTGACATAGATTTAAGAAATTGGCATTTGGCTGGCACATATATTTTATTCAAATTAATATGTTTATAGAGGGCGCTATTTCAAAATATGCAAATAAGCTGGTCATCTATGGCCATGCAACATCACAAAACAATTTGTTAGTGATGGTCCTAGAGAGATACAGACATTTGGCTGCCAAAAATTGTAGAAAAAATCCTTATTATATATTTATTATTCATTTTTAAAGGAAAATCATGTACTTTGGCGGCCATTTTGTATGACGTCATATATCTTAAATTGCTCAAGGCTGACAGAGTGTCAGCAATCGGATTCTTGAAATAGAAGGTCTAGGCAATCAAAATCCATTGAAAAAAAAACTATAGACCCTAAAACAAGGTTAGGCCAATAATCTGCATTTGGCTGCCGGACTAGTACAGAGGAGAAAAGGCCGATAGAATAGCCGATGAAAAGAAGAGAAATAGGCGATTAAATTCTCTTGCTCAAGAGCAGGAGAAATTCTCTTTCTATCGGCGTGACACCGATGAAACGGCCACTGCGAATGCGTTCGGGGGAAAAAAACGATTAAAAGTCCGATGAAAATAGTCAAAGGTCGCAATGTACGCGCGCTTTATCGTAACTTAACGTAAATTATTATACATCTTATGAAAGAGTGTTTTATACAGTGTGAGTCAAAAAAAAGTTTACACCTAGAAAATTGCTAATTATTTAAAAAAATCATCGATGAACATTAAACTGTTATATGTCTTACGAAAGAGTGTTTTATCCCAAATCATTTGGTACCATTTTTGTGTGGTATGTGTTGACGCTTGGATGAATAGGTGGCATTGTTTGCGAGAGTGCAAAAATCGACTTGCGCCAAAGTAATGCCTTCAGTATGTATTATGCTGGGATTAGCGGAGTGAGAGAATGGATTGAATGTATGTTTTTTGCAAAGGACAAAGTCACACCCACCCACACACACGCGCACAAATGTTCGTTGATATTTAATATTTGGTATTTGATATGTGTGGCATGATTAATTTTGTTAGGGTTGTTATTTGGATCTGCAAAGACCGATTTAATACCCAAACCCCAATTGTTTTAAAATCGATGATTTTTTAAATAATTAGCAATTTTCTAGGTGTAAACTTTTTTTTGACTCACACTGTATAGTGGCCGTTTCATCGGATGCGTCCGGATGCATCCGATGAAAATCAGGCCAGTTTGACATGGAGAAATTCTCTTTAACTGCTGCAATCTGAGGAACCTCGGAAAAACCAAGGAGAGTCGAGGCAGTATTCAACTATTAGGAAATCCGGCCAGTCGACCAATGGCCATCAGTCTTGCCCAAACTCAGAGAAATTGAAGCTTCACGAAACGGTCTTACGAGCTATTGTTCTTATTGGCCGTCGGGAGGCACTTAGGTAAACTAGAAACAAGTTTTTCGAACGTCACCGATATATACAAATTATTTTTTAAATGTTTATAGTCACAAAATCATTCTTTTGTGTAATAAAAGGATGGAGATTTTTTTTAAATGCATGTAAATATGCGGAGACTATGTACTTACGTATGCTCCGTAATGCATGACAGATGTGAGATCATATTTGACTACTTCGCTAGCCATAACGTCTTGAAGTGACTCCTTGTCAAAATTGTGTTGTTGATCTGTCTCGATGTTTGTCCAAAAAACTTCGACATAGTCGTCGCGGTCTGGTCTCGACTGCTCATGTTGGAATCCCATTGCGTGCCCGATCTCATGAGCGATGGTTCCCAACTGAAAACAAGTGCAAAATAATGTCTTTGAGCGTCTTCAAGTTCAATGATACCCCATAACATTTCATTTCATTTCATTTCATTTCTTTATTGTGTCCATATAGGATAATTGTTTATATTTACATGAACAATCTTGCTTCAACATATGAACATAGGAACAACATATAATTAACAATCAAAGGGCCCTGTTTTAGTATACATTTAATATAATATACATGATCATGATAAATATACTTTTTAATACTCTTTCTTCTTCTTCTTCTTCTTCTTCTTCTTCTTCTTCTTCTTCTTCTTCTCTCTCTTCTTACATACCCTGCCTTTTCTTTTATTCTTATATGCTCTAATCTAAAGTAGGTATTTTGTTTAAAAATTATTCCTTGATATCGTATAACAGTAGGGTTACAATAGGAAAATAGTAACGGACAGCATTTCATTATTTGTACCGGTATCTTTCTGATTAGATTTTTTTTTTTTTAATCTGAAGGGAAATTAAATACATCGAAACTTGAAAGTAGCCCCTAAACCTACCCCCCCCCCCCCCCGCCCTTGCTATATACAGTGTTGGCTCAATCAGTAGAGCGTCCGCCTCACAACCGGGAGGTAGTGGGTTCGAACCCCGGCCGCGTCATACCAAAAGACGTTAAAAGATGGGAGTTGTTGCTATCTTGTTTGGCCTTCAACAATAATGGATAGAGCAACGTCGATCTGGCGCTGCTCAGTGGCTGCCAGGTTCACGATCAGTTGGGCAGTTTCGATTTAAAAAATTTGGAGTAGATTATTATTATTATTATTATTATTATTCTATTTACAACCTTTCAACCGCTTCATCTCTTGAGTTTGAAGAAGGGAGCAAAACTATCATTGTCCCACTTATGTTTTTTGCAATCCTCGAGCCCACCGGCTAACCCCCCCCCCCCTAAGTTACAGTATTTGCTCTAGTAATATGTTATTTATCTAATATGAAAATAGGAAGCATACCCCAGTTACACCGCCAAACCGACCGATTTTTGACCATTCAAGAAAATGACTTTTTATCCTTTGAATAGTTGGCCTGTTGTGGGTCTTGTGCCTGTCTCGTTGGTGTAACTTGGGTATCGTTGTATATCCAAACAATCCCATGCAAGTACGGGATTCGCCTTTTCATGTAATTTACCTGTAAACACCCAGATCCAATTGATATAGGCTGTGGTTGCATCTCGTATGTAGGTTGCCTACCGACGTATGACCAGCACCTGAAATGTATTCATTTCGGACAGGTCGTCAAAAGTCTGATATTTTCCTCGATTTTCAACAAAAAATGTCTGTTTAGTTTGTATTAATTACCTTTGGGAGAATGCTCCATTTTTTCGGAGTTGATTTCATGTTTTATTATGAAGACATCAAGAAAAAGCACCGATGAAAAATGAAATCTACATTAGGCACTGCATGAATTTTCTCGGACTAGCTTATGCTTTTGCATACACCATGTCATCACCTTACATTTAAAGTTATAAGATTGTAAATGTAAATATGTTGATGTAATGGAATAAATAAATATAAAATCACATCAAATCAAATCAAAATCTGCCACCAGTTGTAAGAAAAGTACATTGACGACAAAGTTGAAGGAAATCAATGCCAACAAGCAAAACATAAGTTACTTTGATTTTTTTTCTTCAAACTGTCGATTGCCGATGAGGGTACAAGCACTTTATTTGCCCCCCCCCCCAAAAAAAATAAAAAATAAATAAATAAATAAAAAAAATTAAAAAAAAAATAAAAAAAAAAATAAACTAGACATTTGCCAACTAAATTGAAATGAAGGCGGCTACTGTTTTGATAGTTTAAACCAGGAGCTCGAAAAGAAGGCAGGGTATATTTGTTTTAAATCCTGCTTCAAAAATCTATTGTTTTTTTTTCTTCAAAGAACAAATATTGTTGATTAAAAAAAATAAAAATAAAACATTTTAACATATTACAATTTTAATAAAAAATTGAAAAAATTGCTCAGTCGTAAATAGTACTTTAATTTGAGGTTATATTAACGGCTTGGAAAAATAATGTGTTTATTTTTTATCATGTGACACACTTTCAACCAATCAGAAAACAATACATTGTTGATGCCGGATACAATTAGAAATCCTACTCGACCCGTCCTTTCGCATCCTCCATCGACACCCTTATGTTCAGTTTAGTGAGAGAGAAAAGCAAATGTCGCTTCTTACCCATCCGCCTTATGGAAACGAAGCCTCTGGTTGTGACCCAGTGTTGAGGAACGATCCGAAGAGTAAGTTTCAAACTTCACACATGTCTTAGTCGACCAATGATCCATTGCTTCGTAGATATATGGTATATCATCAGCTATAACGAGTATCATGATGAACAAAATATGCAAAGAATTTATGATTTGGGTTGAAAATGTGATACAATATCATAATCATCTAAAAAGTCGCTATTGCACAATGAATGTCCGCATACAAAGTTGTTACTAATAATGTTTAGTTTCACAATGCAAAAAACATCAGGAGAAGGCAATATTATATATAATCCTGATACATAGGGGGAGGATGGTCGGAGGGGAGGGGGGGGGGGGTGTCCAAATTTCATTGAGCTGCATGCCGAACCTTGCGTATTACTTCTCACGTTAGATCAATAGTGTTTTGAGGGTCTGTTAACATGATTGCAAAACCTTCCGAGAAATCAACTCTAGAAGACATTACATACCCCGTACCAATCACGTTTGGATTACGTAATATATGATTGTTCTGTTCACACATTTCAAAATGTGACTCGCAAGGCTATTAGAATCGCTTAGATTAGTTTCCGACATTGCTTGCGATCGTTTTGAAAATTGTGAGCTAGAATTTTTTTTCTCGTTCCCCCTGTTTTTTATGGTTGTTGTTGGGGGGTGGGTCCATCTACAAACGAGGAAGGTACGCATTTGTTTCTACAAGCTTGCAGGCACAGGCACGTAGTGACGTCAGACCTGCCATTCGATTGTCTACGATTAGACGCTAAACTGTCCTTTACTCCACACAAGGATTGTAATTTTAAACATTCGTAATATCACAATGAACCTCTATCCTGAAGATCGGATATGTTTAAATCTCACAATGTATTCGCGATTTTTGCTTTTCGAAAATAGAATCGCAGTTGAATCGTATAGTGTGTGATGGGCTTTTGATAAGACAATGGCCACCATATAAGTAGGGGTAGGTTACTTGGATTGGAATTAAGAAATGGAAAATAAATGGTTTAGTTGTTGTTGTTGTTTTTGTTGTTGTTTAGTTTAAGACGTGTCTTAGTCGAAACTCGAACTTACTTGGGCTATCCATGGTGAATGGCACAATGACGTCCCCACCGACTTTGGTCCATCTTTTCAAAACATCCCTCACGGCCTTCCTCTTGGTTCGTCCATCTTTGTGTTCCTCTTTCTCCTGTCGAATATATTCTTTCTGTTCTTCGTTCAGGATCATATCCGTCTTCTGTTCATCACCAGTTATCCTGCTTGAGAACGGGTCAGCCAATTTCTCTTGAACGGGCACGTAAACGACTTGTCCGTTGAATTCCACCTTCCTCATGGGACGTTCCTAGATCGTGATGCAACATAGAACATTGTAATGCAACATAAAACATTGTAATGTTAAAGGTAAACGCGTTATTTTAGCGAATACACAATTTTAAACGTCGCGTCGTTGACTGTTCGATTATGGTAGATAATAACGCAATAGAAATGACGCTTCGTGTGCCATGGACATTATCTTAACATGGAAATAGTTTAAAAATACTGTTTGCGCCATACGTTGATCATCGACAGAATGGGCTAAAACTTGACAAATTCTAAAAACTAACCAGAAAAAGGAATCGTGTCACACGAAAATGTTTTACAGAAACAAAAATCTAGAAAACAGTTGATAACTGATTTCCATTTTCTTATTCGAGAGGTATATCTTAATCATTAAATTATAAACGAAGCTGTGTCCCAATGGATACCTTTTCTGACTCCTTAGTTAATGGCTTGCCGAGTATCCCGGCAACCAAACAGGTCAACAAGACGCTTGTTGCAAAGGCTCTCTTCATCTTAGTATTCAACTGATAGATATTCAGGTGAATAAGAAGTGCTATGGGATTCTATTCCTAGTGCTTGGTCTATTTATACAAAATTATACCTGTCGAATATAGGCCTACTTATCATCCTTGTTTTGCACAAAATTACTTCCCACTTTCATTTCGTAAAAATTATTTGCCTACTTTAATAAGTAAATAATTGAACGCATTTTAATTACATGACCAAACATTCACATTGCAAATATTAACAGTGCATCCCTGTTTGTCCATAATCATGTTGAATTAGCGTAGCAGAAAGATTGTGCCCCTGATTGATTTGCGAAAATGATAGGGAGAGGGAAGAGAAATAAAGAATAGAGGAGAGGTAAACGAGCTTGAGAGGAACATAATAAGACATATACATTGACATCTCATTCAATGTGTTAGAACACAGTGCCCCCTCAATGATTGCCTGGATCCACGCTTCGCCACAGTAGCAAACTTATTAATCTGACAAAATGTGTGTTGAAAACATTTAAAAACAAAATAAGCCTTAAAGAGAAGGTTTATTGGTTTAAAAAACTAACTTTAATGTCATTATTGCAAAGGTGAAACTTTGATTGGCCAAGGTTATCAAAAGCAAATGTTTGGAAACGTTCGAAGTAATGATTATTAACAATTACAAAAGGCTTAGATACAGCCCCGCCAAAGCACCTGAAAAGCTCCACGGTCGCTGCTGAGGTATGACGTCACATGTTGAACATGATGTGCACAAGCAGACGATATCCCATGACATCTCACACAATTTCAGTGCCTGTTTTGTCATGTTTTCTTCAGCTATTTCTCTTACTTCAATACCCTCAGGCGAAATGTTTAATCTATTGCCTCACTCTAAACCCCGTGCGTGGTATTATTTTGATGAAAATTGCAAGGATAAAAAAGGGAATCCGTCGCTTGTAAACAAAATAAGACGCCATTGTATTTTCAGCTGCATACACCGCGGCATGTTCGGCGTTTCAAGAGGGAACAAAACACGTCCATGCTATCATTCCGGAGGTTTTTTAATTTGAAAGTGTGGTTTCTTTGATTGTTCATTAACCCATATCCTGTTATTTACAACAAAAAAAGAATTTAGTTATTAGAATGGGGGTCATATCCCTTTTTGAATGGTGTAAAATTCCATCACATTTATATACACTTAACTCATTATAATTTGAGAAATAAAAGTATTGCAATTATGTTGCGGGGTTGGTTCATATTTTGATGGCATTAAAACATCATTATTTTTCCGGCGAATCTCTCGCATTTCCCAGATGCTATGGAGGTTGTTATATTTGTATTTTTATAAACCCCCCGATATGTAGTTGACCTACAACTTGCATGATGGCTATCTGTTAGCTTACCAGTTTCTAGTAATACGCTATTTGGCATATTTGTGATTTTGTATGAACCCGCACTTTAAGGAAAAGTCTTGCCTTCTGTTCCAAATAACTAATATTTTGATTCCATGGTTGTACCAATTTTAGAGGTCTATATTTAAGGGACAGAGATGTCAGATGTCGAAATTGCGATCTGTCATTTTGATAATCTGCCCCACTGATCTTGATAATCGACAGTTGTAAACTTTTTGATTTTACAGCATATATTTTATCTAATTCAAACAAAAATCGACAAACCTTGATACTCGATACAATACCATAGACCTGCATCAAAGAAAAAAGAAAAAAACAACAACAACAACAACAACCCTGAAACAGATATTTTATATTTTCATTTGTTCTTTATTCGTAGAAAAAGTATAACTTAACAAGGAGGTAGGCTAACTGTAACCAATCATTAAATGTGTTTTCCATTATACTATATTTTGCTCTAATATATACTAGAATAAAAGATAATATTTTCAATATTTGCATGTAAAAAATCAAAAAAGGATCCGATACACATGTCTAGCAATGAGTTTTCGATCTTAATTTGTCTTTGAAGATCCCCTCCTTTTTGTTTTGGTTTCCATCCTTTAATTCTAATCTCTATCAAAAATAGTTTGATGATTTTTTTTCTCTGCTAACAGCTGGTTAACAATCACCGATTCGAAATAGTCTTTGTAAACAACAAAAATATAATTTAGGAAAATTAATTAATTCTCACAAACACAGGAAAGTTTGACTTAGTTTTTGAAGATTGCTAACATTCTCTGTCAATAACCTAGATATAAAATCTATACCGGAAATGCCAGGTGGTTGCCATTTGATTAAATTATTATTATTATTTGGCTATAAAAAATCAACTCGTATTATACAAATCAATAGATAAAAGATACAGTGTAAATAAGGAATGGCATATGGTAGAGGTTTCACAAAAGCGAAAATTCTTCCCTGTGGCCAATTGGCATGTTACTCCTCACATTTCAATCCGAGAAATATGAGAGATATTGCACGATACATGATACGATTCAATTATGAAATTGAAAGCAAGCACATATCCTGTGCTCGTCCCTGTCCAGTAAGGTGGGTACCCGGTAGGATGCGACCGTCATTGAACGTCAAGTAACGCCTGGCTGAAGTGCTCCCCAGGGAGTGGAGATTGTACACACAGTATATGCGGGCAAGTATTGAATCCAATGAGTGGGGTAATAGTATATCTGTAAAGCGCTTAGAGACATCGCAGATGACTTTTCTTCTTCAGTCAGGTGGCGCTAGCTGCTGTGGCCATCACAAGTTTACGCCATCCTTCTCTGTCAGCTGTTGCTCTTGTTGCCTCTGACAGCTTTTTCCCTGTCCATATGTGGATATCTTTGAACCAGGAAATAGCAGGTCTGCCTCTTCTTCGCCTGGCTTCCACTGTTCCTGTTATAAGGGACTTTCCAAGACCGTCTCTCCTTTAATACTACATGGCCAAAAAACTGCAGTTTCCTTCTGGCAATACTCTTTCTGAGCAACATCTCTGTATTCAGCTTGTCCAGTACCCATTGGTTTGTTCTTTTGTCTGTTCATGGAACCCTCAGTATTCGCCGATACACCCACATTTCAAACGCATCTACTTTCTTTTCATCTCTTTAGGTCATGGCCCATGTCTCGCTTCCGTATGTAGCAATGGGAAATATAGATGTCAGTGCTATCTTTAAACTGTTATTTATTCCCCGGCTTCTCCAGATCTTCACCATTTTTTGAGTTGCATTCCTTGCTATAGCTAATCTCCTTTTGATTTCTTTCTCACTTGATCCTTTAGCGCTTACAAGTGATCCAGGTATATGAATTCCTGGACTTCAGCAATTTTTTCTCCATCCAAAATAAAATCATTAAAATCTCTTCGATTCCTGTCTATTACTAGTATCTTTGTCTTTTGTGTGTTTAAGAGGAGATTCTTTTCATAACTGGCCTGTTTTGTTCTTCTCAGCATGTCCAGCAGCTCTTCCCTGCTGGTACATTATTAAAGTTGTATCACATTCTGCATACCTGAGATTGTGCCTTCTCTGTCCTCCAATGTTCACTCCGCCTTCAAAACCTTCAGCCACAGTTCGTATTATATCTTCTGAGTAAATATTAAATAGGTCTGGAGACAATATACATCCTTGCCTGACACCTCTTTCTATCGGAAACCACTCAGTATCACCAACACTAGTCCGAACAGCTGCTTCTTGATCTTCATAAAGCTTGGTTATTAATCTCACCAGGTGTGCTGGGAATCCTAGTACCTTTGCCAGGCACAAAGCCCGCTTGCTCTTCTGACATTTCATCAATGTACCTCCTTTTCATCCTGCCAATGATGATCTTTAATAGTATTTTGCTCGCATGAACAAGAAGACTGATGGTTCTATGATTAGAACATTCTTTCTGATTGCCTTTCTTAGGTAAATGTATGAAAATAGCTCTGCACCAGTCTTTGGGCCATTCTTCATTCTCCCATATCTTGATAGATAGCCGCCATAAGAGATCAATACCTATTTCACCTGTTGCTTTCCATACTTCAATAGGTATTTTGTCCATTCCAGGAGATTTACCATTATCTATATGGTTCAGAGCCCATTCAACTTCCGATCTCAGTGGAGGTGGTTCTCTGTCTTCCTCGACCTGTCTGTTGTCTCTTTGACCTGGCTCTCTACTGCTGTACAAATCCCTGCAGTACTCTGCCCATCTCTGTTTTATGTCCATTTCCTCTGTCAGAGTTTTTTGTCATTCACAACATCAGTCTTCATGCTTCTGTCACCAGTAATCTCTTTTACAAGTTTGAAAACTTTCTTCATGTTGTGCTTCTTTGCTGCATTTCCCATTTCTTCACATTTTCCTTCTAGGAATGCTCTTTTATCTTCACATGCTTTTTGGTTATATTCCTTATTTAGTTGTCTCCATTCTGCGTGTCTCCCTTCTGATTTTGCTTGCCTTCTTTTACTTACAATTTCCATTGTACTAGTTGTTAGCCATTCCTGTTTTTGCCTTTTCTTCCGTGGTATGTATTCCTGAGCAGTCTTTTTCAGGACATCTGATGTGGTTGCCCACAGCACTTCTGGCTTCACATCTTCTTCTGCCATTTGTAGAAGTGGCATGAATCTGTTACCAATCTCAGTAGTGAACTGTGCTGGTATAATTCATCACATCAAACCTGACTGGTTGAGCAGTTGTCTTCTTGGACTTGAGTCTCAGTTTCAGTTTACCGAGCAACATTTGGTGGTCACTCCCACAATCGGCACTTGGTCTTGTCTTAACATCCTGTAAAATTGCCCTCCACCTTCTTTTAATCATGATATAATCTATCTGATTCTTCACTCTATCTCCAGGACGTCTCCAGGTCCATAGTTGCCTCTTGTGATGCTGAAACATGGTATTGCCAATGACTAGGTCATTTGCAGTGCAAAACTCCACAAGCCTGTCTCCACGCTCATTTCTGTCACCTAAACCAAACTTTCCAATGTTGCAAGTTTCTCTACCATCCTTTCCCACTTTGGCTTTACAGTCTCCAATCATCATTGTGATATCCCTCCCTGAGATACTGTCCAGTGTATTTTGTAAGACTCCATAAAAGTTGTCCATTTCTTCCTCAGTAGCATCTGTTGTTGGGGCATATACTTGAACTACTGTGATGTTCATGGGATGGGCCTTCATCC